GGGGGAAATGAACCATCGAATAAGAACTTGACAAAACTGATGACCGCATCTGGCTATTTTTGTTAATCAATAATTTGTCTGCCTGTTTTAATAATCCGAGGAATTTTGCCAATTCTCAATACACTCTTCTGTCTGCTCGTATCACCATTGGTTTTAACTGTTACTTGAGGACCCGAAGAGCTGGGAAAATGAAATTTAAGAGCGCTATCCTCCGAAATTGTGCGTATACGCCTATGTATTTCATCGAGACCTCCTGTTATTTAGATTCCATGCCGAATATTTACGCGCCTTAAAACGCGTAGAGGAAACAAAGAAGCATGAAGTTAAAAAACGCAGAAAAGTTCACAAAAAAGTAATACCTACGGGGCTGTACAGAGTTGATGATCCGGAAAACGGTGGAACGATGTTGCTTGGTGATCTTGAACCCGGACCGCCTTTGTGAGTTTTCAACTCTTTAAATTCATATTTTCAGATTTTTTGATTTCTTAACTATGACTTTTCACATTCTTTCTTAAGAATATGAATTTTTACTTCCTCTATTGTCAAAGTCAAGACTTTCTCCGTATTTGCTTCTATGAGAGGTTGGGATAATCTGAAGAGTTCTGAGAGCAGCAAATGCCAACAGCATGTTCGCTGACGAGGTTGTCGGTAGTTACTTCTTTCGAGGGTTGCTTAGAAGCAGTTTGGTTGCTGGTTTGTCTCCGTAGCATATGCCAGTACCAATTTTCTATCGGAACAAGTGAACGAATCATGGAAGGACTAATTGTTCTTTTCGACCTCTGTGCGTCAGCAGGACAATCTGCATCACTTTTATTGCAGATTTCTTCAAACGCATAAAAAGTTTTTGCATTTCGACTTTCAGTCATCCACTTTTTTCATTCCTTTTCTTTTTTGATTATGTTTTGTCATTTTCAAAAAGTTCAACATTCTCGTCCCAATTCTTTAACAAAAATGAAATCACTGGGAAGGACAAAAGGAAGAAAATCTCCTCTTTGCCGCTCTACTTTCTTCAGCTCCCTTCTTCCGCTTTCAGTTAGTCCTCTGTCTCGGCACAAAATATTGTTTTTATTCCCAATATGGTTTCATTTAATTGAAAGTGCTGCTGCTTGCTATAATGCACATTCCCCAAGAGGACTGCAAAAACTGCTGTTGCTTTACTACTGCTGTTTATGTTGATGTTACTATTGCTGAAGAATCCATAATCGCTGCAGACACTGTTAAATGGGCTTTTGAAGTGGGCCATACAATAGTACAGAAGCAGCGTTAAAAAAATAAAAAAAAGCTGTCCGCCACAGAAGTCCCGCAAAAAAACTGGCAGTTGTTGAAAGGGCGTGCTGAACATGGTGAAGTAGTCAGGCAATTTAGAATATCTATCGGAGTTGCATACATGCGGAATATAGGTACTCCACCAAGTTGGAGAACGAAGACTGCTGGTGCAATGGTCTAAAACACCTTGTCCGGCTATGTGGTTCAATCCTTTCACAGCTTATAGTCCTTTTCAAAAAGTGTCTGTCTTTGTTCGCGACACTGTCAGTGTGATAGGAGGCTTGAAGCGACACAGTTGAAATTAAGCGGACGAGGGAGATTAGCATGCAGAAAATTGATGTTCTCAAGTAGCATTAATGGCAAGAAGCAATGAAGCAAGATTAATCAAAATATTCAGTTACAGCAGCCTTTTGTTTTAGGACACTTTTCAACTCGTACAGTTCTTTAATTTTGGCTTTTTGTATTTATAACTTATTATAGTGAGCGCTATAATTTATTGGCAATTTCAGCTCTTCGGTGCCGAAAGAAATGGAAGAGAGTTCGGGTAGTTGCAAATGGCCACAATTGGAGAGGATCAAAAATCTTGGCAATTTGTTGCAGCCAGATTTAACGGAAGTAAAACATTTTCGACATTTGTTCTTAGCGATTAACACAGCATCGTGTAAAAATCTAAATTCTTTTTAATCTCGGATCGATTGTACATCTCGGATCAGCTGTACAACACTGCTTCTGCAAGTTCTGAAACAGGAGGAACTGCAAACTGCGCGCCTCTCCCACTTTTTATGGGACCAGCATACATACAGACTGTAGATGCTCCAATAATTATGTAAAGAACAAGGGCCAGCGGTATAGTTATTTAGCATGTAGTGTTTGAATGCGAGAACGAGTGATCCGACTCCTCTCCTGTCCATTCTACCTGCGAAAACGGGGTTTCGTCCGTGAGTTTCTGCTGTAGTGTCGCAAAATTTTCCCGGGCTGCTGTACTGACAGATTTAAATCATTTCAGGAGGAACACTCATGGACTTTTTCTGAAGATGAGGACGTATGGAATGTGGCGGATAACAATCAACAGCAATGCGCTACGAACATCTTGCAAAACCCGAGCTCCATTAAGCAGGCCAATTTCCCGCCAGTTACCGGAGAAGAGTAGGCTAGCTCATATCCCCGCAAAACAACACTGATCCTGAAATTTTTTTTTATTATGCATGTAAGACTGCGCCGATAAATTGATAAGGTTTATGAAGTTTAGTGTACAACAGTTATACCACCGCTAGACCAAAGCCTCGGTCTTAAACACAAAGAGGAAGAGGAAGCAAAAAGCGATAGAGCAAACAAGCACTTCGAAAGACTTGTTATGAAGCTACGAAAGACGAAACTTACGAAACACTTATTTTCCGGAAAACTGTCTCCACTTTTAGTACTTTGGTATTTTTTCAAGACTTTTCAAATTAGGAAGTAAGTCGTTGTAGCCTGTGAAAAATAAAATAAGGGGTTGAGGTGATGTATCCACTACTTGCATTAAAGTTAATTTCTCGTAAAGTTTCCTTCTCTTAAAACATTTGAAGCGTTGCTAAATTACCTTTCACTCTCAAAATGACTAAAGCTTAATCAACTTCTCTCTTTTTCAAAATAGTTGAAACTTACCATGTTCCCTTTTTCAAAATGGATAACGCTTCTGAAAAGTTTGTGCGTGAACATAAACAAAGACAGAACTAGAAAATATTGCATTTTTATACGTATAAATACAGTAAATAACACGTAAAAATTCAAAAAGCCAAAAACTCTTCCACATTCACTTCTTGTTGGAGGCGGAGACACTCAAAAGTGCTCTTGAAGTTAGTGCCAAAAGCAACCACACGCTGACGAGCTGTCGATGGCAACCACTTATCTGCAGTGCCAAAGTGCTAAAAACGACTGCAAGCTGACATGGTTGTTGATGGATCCTACTTTTGAGAGTTGCTTAGAAGCAAACTGATATTAGGCTTGACTACCTGAGGTGCACCAACGTCAATTTATCATTTACACTAGGAACTTTCTGAGGTTCCTGAAAAGTGGGCCTATTACTCAATTCAACCAGCTGAAGTCTAAAGCTGATTCTTTTTACTTTGATCAAAGCTGTATCGTTTGGTAGTTTATAAGTTATTGATCTTGACACTGGTTTCGCTTTCTGAAGAAATTGCTAGCTCTACGACTCTCCCAGGCAAAGCTTCAGTTGTTCAAGATGTTCCTGGTGTGTATAATGCATCACCATCTTGTTCTACACGTTGCTATTCCTAGACACGATGAGGTATCGTAACAAATGTATGAATTTTTATGATAAAAATATTAATCAGAAAAAGTGCTTAAAAGCAAACAAAAGTGCCAAATAGAGTTACAACTTTGTGTGGGTGACAGCACGGAGGACGTGGATGTCGACATACTTCCATATTACATACGGCTACTTCTGTTAGGTTCCTGAAATGCACGGGTTAGGCTGTTACCGTACATAAGGCAGTTATTTAAAGATAGGTTAAATCAATCCATTTAAGTGGCAACCAACGAAAGCTTCCCTGCCTTACATGGCGTGGGCCACTTAATCACTTGTGATTAAATGGCCCACGCCATGTAAGGCAGGGGAAGCTACCAATTCAGTTAAAGAATCTTTTTGAGCGATTGTGTAGAATTATGCACATGAGAAAAACGCAAAATAGAGAATGGGGAAGTTGCCGAGTTGCATCAGTAATAAGAAGCAAGTGATCAAGGTATTAAAGTGTCAACTGCACCAGTAACATAGCTCCATTTCGACAGTTCGAATGATCAGCTTTCTCTTTGAATAGCATTTATATTTAAATAGCATTCATATTTCTGCTTAAATCTAATACTTAGCATTTAATATTATATCTTTGCAAGTACAAACGTCATTAATAAATGTCGCGAATGGTGCCTTTTCTCGAAAGTTGTTCCGGATGGGAGGGAATCGAACCACTCCTCCCCACCTTCGGACATTACATGTTCGAACCGCTACACCACCGGCTTCTCTGCTCTGTGTTTAACTTGGCAGCAAATCTGCTGCACAAGGCAGGATATACCTTTCTTCTCTGCCTGTCGTGGACAGTTTCCATCTTTTTCTTTGTGACGGCTTTTACGCTGGTTTTCCGAAACAATATCACACTGTGTGCATGTGTTCAAGCAACTGTTCCGACTTTTCAAGTGAGCAACCTGGCAAGCTAAAAAGCTGAAGTTCACCGCTTGGAAAATGAACAGTAGCTGTCCAGGTTCCCTGAGTTTCGAGTTGTGTCCACAAGTAAATAAGGGCTAAATATGCATGCCGTTTTCAAATAATTAATCAGCATAAGGCAAAAACTAACCCTTTGCATGAACAGTGCTGGTACGGACTGAGGCAGCTTCGGACACGCATTGCTTTTCCGCATGCGCCGCATTCATCACTACATTTCGTCCAGTCACTCCATTCCAACCACCGTCCCTCACATTCGGAAAAGAAACCACTCGCGTTCGCAGATTGTTCTGATTGACAAACAAGAAAAACAGCGAGCAGCAGGAAAGCACAAGTGCCGATGTTTGCTAATTTTAGCATCTTTCCAAAATTTAAATGAATAATTTCAACAGATATTCGATAAATTTAATCATTCACACTGCCTAAAAATACAAAACTTATTCGTCGATGACTTAAAAAAATGCCAGTTTGTTTGGAAAAATGCGAGAATCTGAATCGAGTCTTTCAATTTCGATCTTTATGCATAAGCGTAGGTTCATTTTGAAGGTAAACTAGCGCTACTGTAAAATAGAAAAATGGAGGAATTCAGTTTCATGCATTAAGGCAATTTTACAGGCTGATACAAATACCAAAAATTATTTCTTACGAGAATCCGGGTATAAAAGGATCCTTTCAAGGATACGAAGTCTGTGTGCTTACTTCGATCTGTCAACTCCGATGCGCACTCTAATCAACGCAGCCGATCTGTATCATTTGGAATCACACTCCGAACTAAATTTTTTCATTGATTTCTATTTCCGCTTTGAATTAATGATAACCGTGTCATCAAAAAATCTTGTATCAGTTGTAGTCCAGCACAGGGTTTCTTCGAATCACCAACCTATATATACTGCACACACCAAACACGCCGCCTTTGGCTTTGATAAGCATGCAAATTTTTTTTTTTTTTTTTGAGCAGCCCACAAAAGAAAAGTACAGAGCGATGATAAATAGCCGCGGGGCAAAATGCGATGAGTATTAATAAACATTTGTACGGATGTGTTGGATGAAAATTTACAGCAACAATAATTGATACAACCAGCGACAGGAATTTCATCCGCATACGACGCGAGCCATTGGGTCACCGCGCAACCTCAATGTATTGCTGTCTTCCCGTCCTTCCCCGTCCCCCCAGCCCTACGGTCCTGCATCCCGACCCATCCCTTCTCGAATTCCTTATCTTTCTTAAAAAGTTTGCAATCCTACGCTCCAGTTCTGAAATTTTGTCCTTCCTCATTCACAAATTCCTCATGTTTTTTTGCTCCTGTTGTGAATACGCTCACATATATTCCAATTTCAAGAACATGAAATTTGCTGTACTATTGCCCAGCTTCTCTTGATAACCGTAAACGAGAAGTAACGTTGTTCTCGTGAAGCTGTTCGAAGTTTCCATTCCAGCTGTGGGGCAACCAATTCCTCTGTTGTTCATTCATTCGTTTCGATGATAAATGTTGGTATTGGCATATAACAGGGAGTCAATTCTGCCTCTAGGTTGCTTATGAGCAGTTTTTGAAAGAGAAAGCCATCGGCAGCCTTGCTGAACAGTGTTATTATTGGCATTTGCTGCCACTCGGCTACTTCCAAAGTACTATCTGTGTCTCTCACAGAGAGCGAATTCGGGGAGGGTTTTTTCTTATTGATACGACAATAGCTCCAGTTTAAAATTAGCCACAAAGTAATTTTCTGGAATTCGAAAGAAAAACAGTGAAATGCTAAAAGCCCAAAAACAAAAATTTTGGTGGTGCTTGTTAGCACTGACTTATCAGCAAAATGAATTCTAAATACGTCACAGGCATTTCGATACTTTAATTAGTTGTTTCATTGTCGCTTTTTCTGTCGTCACTAATCCAGTTGGAAACTTATCCACTGTTTTATTTTGAGCTCTCTCATCCACTTAATTCCATATAGCCGTTACCGCTCAATAATTCGCTTTTCCACTCTGCTTCTCTCAAAATTATTGATATTCGTCTGAAATGTCTAACCTTAGTGATTTTCCGGAATACCCTGGTGACCAGTCTTATTGACAAATATTCACATGTAACAGCATGGTAATCACTCAAACGGTGCTTTCGCGCGAATTTTTTCTTTTCACACCGTTTTTTATGCGTTTTTGCTGTGCAGCGCTATAGCAGCGCTATAGCGCTGCTGCAGCCAGCAAAAAC